ATTCTCCAGCAGAGCACGTCTGTCCTAGAGCAAGGTAAGCACCATGAGGGGAAAAGAGCACCAGGTCATGTAAATTATTTCGAGTGAAATATAGCCTGAATATTATCTATCCAGTGATAGATAATAATGAAATTATAAACAATATGTGGCCAATCTGCTTTTCTCTTTACCAGGCACGTGATTAAAAAGCATATTGGCTGTTGTAGGTCTCAGCAGGACTTTCTATAAACCTTATTCTCTTCCGTATGTGCATCCTGAAGTCTTTGTACCACTTGTTAAAAATAACTGCATTCTAGCTGCACATGAAGCAGTGCACATGAAGTAACCCCACCAGCTGGCTTCTGACTGATTATTGGATATTTGGTGTTCCACATCTCTGCAAGATGTTCCCATTAGCTGCTACCATACAGGCAGTGTAGAGTCCATTTCTATTTTTGATTGTCATGAAGATGACAAGGAGTCAACTAAGACTGTAAAAATTATTATTGCTGCATTGGTATGTCTGGATAACTGTGATGTCTTGCAAGCCAATTTTGTGTGGTTGTTACCAACTCTTACACAGGTTAGGCTGAGTCTTATTTAAAAAGAAAAAAAGATCCAACTGAACAACACCTTCTTTCCAGAGGATGACAAGGTTATTCTAATTAATTCCTCTCTAGAATAAGGGATGGTGGCTTGGTCATCCACCAGGATGCTCAAGTAACCCCTTTGTCAGAGAATGTAAAACTTGAAGCTCTATCTTTCTCTAAAGGAAAGTGAGCTGAGGAAAGTTGGGTTATCTTTGTCTGAATATGATGTCAGAGCTGTTCTGGTTGCTAGGTTGTTGCAATGCCAGTGAAAGGAAGACCCTACAGAATATTGTTCAACCTCGGAGAATTCAGTCAAAACTGTGGCTTCTGCCAGAAATCAAAGCCATGTGCCAAAACTGTTAAAGCTTCTGCACAGAAAACATGAGGGAAGAAGAGCCAATTACAACACTGCTTTGCTGACCTAATTCAGCAAAACTTAAAGCTACTCCTCCAAACAGACAAGAAGATGTAAAAACTTCATTTGAAAAAAAGCATCAGCAAAATAATTGCCACATAATTTTAGGCAAAACTTCCTTAACTGGAAGTTAATTTGGAAAGAATTAACTGGAATAATTAAGGAGAAGATTATACTGTGTCCTACTGAAAGGCATTTAAAGAATAATGCAGTCATGAGGCATAGTCAACTTTGGTTCTCGAAAGGAAAATCCTGTTTAACTAATTTGATATCCTTCTATGATAGGGTCACTGCCTAGTGGACAAAGGGAAGGAGGTAGATGTAGTTTTTCTGGATTTTAGTGAGGCTTTTTATACTGTCCCTCACAGCACCCATCTGGACAAGTTGTCCAGCTGTGGGATGAGCAGCTTCATGATGCACTGAGTGAAGAACTGGCTGCAGGGCAGGCAGAGCTCAAAGAGCCTTAGTGAAAGGGGCTACATCTGGCTGGTGACTTTTCACCAGTGGAGTTCCTGAGGGCTCAGTTCTAGGGCCAGTTCTGTTCAATATATTTATCAACGATCTGGATGCAGGAGCTGAATGCACCATTAGCAAGTTTGCCAAAGACACCAAACCAGGAGGTGCTGTTGAGTCTGTTGAGAATCAGAAGGCTTTGCAGAGGAAACTAGACAGATTGGAGCATTGGGCAGTGATTAAAAGGATGAAATTTAACAAGTGAAATGTCAGATTCTGCACCTAGGATGGACTAATACCAGGCATTCCCAAAGGAGTCTGGGAACTCCTCTGCATCTGCACTTCATTGGATCAGAAAGCCAAAAGGGGAGGCAGTGAAACATTTCTTCTGTTTGGGAAAAAAAGCAAAACCTATTTCTTCTAAAGATCCTAAGAAAGGTAAGGAAAGGATCGACAAATCCTCGGTGTGGACAGTGAATCTGTTTAGGTAATGAACACTAGAAAAAAACACGTTCTTGGGATGCAAATTTATAACCCCTTAAACTAAGAAAGTCGTTCATACCCTGTTCTCTAATATCTTTTAATATTTTTTCTTTAAAAAACTGAAGGCACAAAGATTTTGTGAAATGTAATATGTCAGTGTTTGTTCAAGGTGGGGAGAAGGTCTCCCAAATCCTTAAACTGGAATCTCTCACCAGACCTTCCTCTGCTTTTACATGAAGCACAGAGAGATCAATAAAACACACGACTCCCTGGGGAAAAACATATGCAGCTCCACCCAGATTCTCACTCTTCTCATCTGCTACCGTCCTATAAATATCCCAGTCGCCCACTCGGGGCAATAATTAGGCAAACAAACATTAAAAAAATCTGAATGCTATGGACCGGCTAGCTGTGGTACATGAGTACAGCTCAGGTATCCATCATGTCTTCTCTATGTCAGACAGGAGATACTTATCCAGAGGCACTATGCAAATTTAACAGAAGCATTTTAAGTTTGCAAGCAGCCTGAGGACTAAAATTTTCTCTCTTCTTTCTTCAACTCTTGGGCCCAACATGCTGTGCCTATACTATCCTTTGTGTGCCAGTGTGTGCCTGAGTCTGTACTGTAAGTCTGCTCAGAAAGAGCATAATGCAAATGGTATATTTTTGAGTAAATGATACCTAGAATTGTTATAACCCAAATCAAAATTTTTTGTCTTTTAGAAAAATAATTCAACATTATCTAGAAGTTATATTAGAGATCCATTTGTCTTTTCATAGTATATATATTCATGATTCTTAAATCTCTGGAATAATCTAATTTTTATATAGGCACTTTTCAAAAAGTGTGCCTAAAACTTGGTGCCTTGAAATCATTTTTAGATACTCCGATATCAGCTTGCTTCCCCAAAATACTAGTCCTCATAAAAGCCCTCAAGTATGCAAACTGAAACTGCCTTACTCATGGGAACTTCTGAAAATTGGGTTAATGGTTGGGTCTAATATCTTAAGATTTATATACAGGTGCACACTTTCAGTGTATACAGAGGATGAAGTTGGGAGGCTTAGGTAAAATCTTTGGCTTTAAAAATCTTGTAGAGAATGTAATAGAAAAATGGAGTAGGAAAGGCCAGTCCTCTGCAACTAAACTGTGTTTGTAACAATTTTCTACATGACTAACAGAAATGCATATGTATCATGCTCTTGACCAGGATATCCTGTTTCTGTAATGTGGAAAAACAGGTTTCTCCTGTTTTGTATGTTATCCAGTCCTTTATCCTTGTGCATGGTAGGTAATACCATATGGAAAGTAAGATATTAAGAAATTGGGTCCTCTGTTTTGTCTGCAAAAAAGTAATCACTCCTAGGCGTTTATAAGATCAGTCTCCATCAGATCACCTGGCCTGGGGAGAGAGCCCAACACATTGGCTACAAGGAATGTAGGCAAATACAGATAAATATTAGTAGTTAGACCAGTTTTTATTTCTCCAGCTGAACCTGCTGAAATGCAAAATGTCAAGTCAAATGTAAATAGTGATTAATAATGGCATTTTTTGTGTAAATGCTTTCCCTAGTACTATTATTTGCTACTCAATTGCTTATTAAATGTTTTAAGTATGCAGAAAACTAAAGTTGATGTATTTCCACAACATTTTCATTCTGCTGTTTAAACCCAATATATAAAAGTTAAAGTCATTGGTTTACCTTCTAGTATCTCACTCCAGTTGATGAAAAATTAATCTTAACTAAGCAGTTTGAAAGGACTGTAAGCATTTTCCAAATACTTTTCATGGCTTGGGGATTTTTAAAAAAATTAAATTTTTTGTCTTCTCTGGGTAAAAACTCAATCCTTTCTTTCAATTATACTTCATATCAGGTTCTGTTACTAAATTAAACTGTTTCTGATAGACTAGCATTAGCAGTCGTCCATTTAGGCCTTACGGCTATTACACATAAACTTCTAGTTGATACATTAACAAGAGGCAATGGGCAGAAACTGATGCACAGGAAGTTCCACCTGAACATGAAGAACAACTTCTTTACAGTGTGAGTGACCAAGCACTGGAACAGGCTGCCCAGGCGGGTTGTAGAGTCTCCCTCACTATTTCAAGACACAATCAGATATTCAAGACACAATCCTGTGCCATGTGCTCTAGGACAACTCTGCTTGAGCAGGGAGGTTGGACCAGATGACCCACTATGGTCCCTTCCAACCTGACCCATTCTGTGATTCTGAGAAGCCTTTGCTTCTTTAACCACATCACTTCTTTTTACCCCGGGGCAGTCCAAGGAAACATTTCTCCTTGGGAGACCAATAACAAGTAATGTCTCAAGGTGCTAGTAATATTATGCTCTGCTTCATCTGATCGTATTTAAACCTTTCTAGCCAGGACAGCGTTCTGCAGACGGTGCTCTCTGTGGTGTTAGTCTGTAGGTACCCAACTCCTCAGAGTGGTGGCTGTAGGTAAAATATGAAGCTGATTATTAACATACCACAACGTACAAGAACAAGAATTCTTGGCCGTGATCCAGTCGCAGTTAAGGACACTTTGTCTAAAATCCTCCCTGGAATTTCAGTCAAAGAACATGTTCCTTTCTGGAATAAAATACTTCAGAAACAATTCGTAAGAGCCATAGCAGGTCTTTGCCAAGGCGAAGCACTTTCTCCTCTCTTTATTGGATTAATGAAGGATTGTTCTGGAAAGCTATTTTGTTTCTGATACAACGACTTCCTTGAAGAGGCATCCAGCGCATTATCGAATAGCGTTTAACCGGGAAGGCCTTTCCCAGCGGGGGCCCCAGGGCAGCCGGACGCTTTCGGGAGCACCCCACGGCCCCCGGCGGGCCACAGTCCGTGAGGGTGACGCGGTGCCACCGCCCCCGCCGCTGTTCCCCAGCCCCCGCGCTCCCCCGCCATGTGAGACGCGCGGTGCGGCCGCGCTCCCCCGGCGCCCCGCGGCATTGTGGGGGCTGTAGGCGGCCGCCGCCGCCGCCCGCGCCGCCGCCGCCCGCCCGGGCCGGGGTGGGACTGCAGCTCCCGGCGGCCGCGGGGCAGCCGAGCCCGGCCCGGCCGAGCGGGGAGGAGCCGCGGGCGGCCGAGCCGGGCCGTCGCCCCGGCGCCGCTGAGAGAGGCCGGCGCGGAGGGGAAGGGGCCGGCGGCTGCGGCGGCGGCGGCCAATGCGAAACTGGCTGGTGCTGCTGTGCCCCTGTGCGGTCGGGGTCGCGCTGCACCTCTGGCTGCTGCTGAGCTGCCGCGGGAGCCACCCGGCAGGTAGGAGAGGAGCGGGCGGCGGGGGGTGCCGGGGCACCCCGGGCGGGCAGGGCTCCCCCACCCTCCCCAGGAGCCTGGCGAGGAGAGGTCGAGGCGGCGGGGCTGGCGGGGCAGAGGGGCGAGAGGAGGGATGCCGTGGCCGGGGCATCCCTCGGGGAGCAGCGCCCGGAGTGCCTGCGGGGGCTCATCGGGAGGGAGCGGCTCGTACCGTGGGGCGGCGGCGGGAGCAGCGCTGTCTCCGCCGCCCGGAGCGGAGATGCCGAGCGCGGTGGCGGTGCGGGGCTACCGAGGGTGCCGTGCGCTCTCTGCGGGGCAGCACCCCTCGCTCCCGAACACCCTTCTGCGCCAGGGGTGCAGAGGCTCCCACCCAGGCACGTGGGAAAGAAATTCCCGCCGGTTTCACCTGTGTCGCTTCATTCCTGCTCCTAGGAATAGCTCTTTGCACCGCGCTCTGTTTGCCTCAGCGGTCTTTAAAACCCCTGTGCTGCACAAAGCTATTCATAGGACCGGGTGTGATCCAACGCAAGTGAAATCAGACCCCTGAGGGCTTACGTTGTGCTCCTCATAAAATGAGTTGTACTTTTCAGGCAGCAAATCTTCATGCCTGGAGGAAACAGTCACCTGTTGGAACAGAAACTTTTGTCAGCTACCCATAGGTGCTCTTTGACAACATTAAGAAATCCTCTATGTGACACGTGATGGTGTCTTTTTACTTAAGATCTGCTTAGAACTCTGTTTACTGACCCAGTAGCCTGTTCACTAATGAAGCCACACTCTGCAACTGGTGCCTGTTCCCTGTGCAGGCTGTACGCAGCTGTGAGGAAAAGAGTCTGCTGATTTCCAGTGGCAATTAATAATTCAAATGTGAGAGAAGCAAGGTCAGTGCATTTGCACAGTCTGAAGGCTGCAGAGTTGTATGGGTGTCTCTGTGTCTATATTCTGGCTCTTGCATATCAAATGAGCATTGGTCACACTGGAATTATAAAAGAACGGGAGTTCTAGTTGTTGAACTTCTAGCCTGAAATGTGTTTGAATACTCCAGTGTGGTTCTGTAACTTCGGAGCATTAAGGTGGAGTTGAAAGTGGCAGTATGGAATCTCATGATGACCTTTTCTGCATAAATGTGTTTTCCACTAACAAACATTTCTAAAGAAAATCCAGAAGTTTCTCAGTTGGTGTTGTGAACGAGTGGTTTAGGTCACTTAAAGAATCAGTTAAAGGTATTAGCAAAAGTAGGTGGAACACAAATTTGTAAAAGTGCAACTTAACAAACTGCAGCACAAGGTTTGTGCTGCTGCTTACTACGTGGATGAAACATCCAAAGGAAAATAGAATTGCCCTTAAAATGATTTACACAGAGACCAGAGACTCAGATGGGTAAGGGAGACCCACTGGTTGAGTCACAAGGTTCAGAGTGGGTCCCTTGCTTTCTAGACTCCCAATGGATCTGAGGTGCAGCTAAGTCCAATCCTGGTCTCCAATTTATATCTAAATGATTTAGCAGCACTTAATCATTGACTAATTTAACATTTACAGAGTGCTTCAATGAAATGTACTGTAATTACAACAGTGACTTCATTGTAGATCTGATGTGGCAACATTAATGCTTTACTTGCCAGAAGCTATCTAACTGAATTCACACATGCATGCATGCTGACACAAAGATACATATATGGATATATGTGTAGAAATGTATGGAGATATATGTATATAAATGTAGGAAGGTATACCTGTTAAATATCTTCGCATTTCTTAATGGGTGAGGGTTGAGCTTTGGGGAGTGGAGGGTTTGGCCCAGGCTCCATCATCAGCTTTCGTTGATGGTCCTCTGAACTTTGCAAATTTGAGAGTTTGTGAGCTCTGAGAGGTGTCCCACTCAGGGAGATGATGGTGGCAGCCTGCTGCAGTCCAGGAAAGCCAAAGAGCCTCACTCAGGAGTGCTGTTTATAAGGTCACAAGGTGTTTGGCTTTAGTCATTCATAAATTCCCATCCTGAACACAGTCTGGGTCAGTAATTGCTGGAATTTTCAAAAATTCAATAACAATGGTAGCATTCCACTCAGGCTCTGGTTCAGGTAAGGCATGTTCCAAGGCTGTCGGGGGATGACTGATTTGCTCTTGTCCCCCACCTTGGTCAGGCAAGAGTAATTTCGGGTACAGTCAGTGCCACCCCCACCTTGGCCATGTGAGAGTTCCTGGTCGAGTCAAGGGACACTTCTCTGCCCAACTCACTACACAAAGGCTGAGGGCTAATGAGAATTCCTGAGATTGTAGAGTGTAGAGGGACATTGAGGAGAACAGGGATAATGCACCACTACAATCCACCCCACGACTAAAGTCAATCCATCTTTCTCTCAAAGAGTGGTAATGTGGTTGCTTCTTGCCTCTGTGCCTATTAACATGTTAATGCTGTATTTCAGTTGTAATTTGAGGGAAATTTTTGGTTGGCCTATTTAATTATTAAGGTTTTGTTAAACGTAATTAAGCAGTATATATTTGCAAAGAGGTCTTTGTAACAGTGCAACCCATCTAGCTATCCTCTACACTCTAGCAAGTAGAATAACGTTTAATAACAAGCATGATAGAACAGAAATTGGATGCAGCATTAGGTTCAAATTTTCTGTTGCTGTCAGTAACCATCTGAATAAGGTTTTCCACTTGTGGTGTTCTGCATCCTTCTTCACTCTTTCCGGGACATCGTATGTCTTCTGTGTCATGATGAATGATGATTAGAGTTTTGTGTCTGTTGTTTTGGATGCGTTCTAGCAGGTGACACAGGTCATTGTGTGTTCTAGTTTTTTCTCCAAGGTCAGATTCATTCTAATGGGGGTAGGTAGTAAATCTTGATATGATGTGTTAGATTGTAGCAATTGTTCGGTTGTGACAGGAGTTGACTAGTTAAAGTTGCATCCTGTAATCTCGGTAAAATTACAAATACAGATATTTGAGTGATTATATGTTTTTACAGTGGTGTTGTCTGTAAATACAGAATCAAAAAGGATTCTTATACAAACACATCCATTTCCAGCAAGTACAGTTCCAGGGGTTTCACTGAGATATATTTCAAAATACTAATCATTCTGTTTAATTTCAAAACAAATTTCTTGGCCTTAATGGTATTGCTTTCACAAATAAATCCCTGTTGTTCTTGTACAACATATGCAATCAACATGGACAATTTGCTATTTGTTCCCATTTTGCTGGGCCCATGATAGAGGATACTTCCATTGTGATTTAATCCCAATATATGCAGTGATTGCATATATACCGTATATGGTGGCATTGCCTGTTGTTGAAACAGAAGACGTGGTTTTAATGTTGGTGGGGTCATAAGTGAAATGGCATCTAGTTTAGATTGAAATTTTCTTTCCAATTTAGTTGCATTATCCCAGATTATTTTTTGATTTTTCAGTAAGTAAGGTGCCTTCCTCCCCTTCTCTTGCAATTGCTGCCACAGTCGATTGAACCCACAGTTGAGCCTCGATAAAACAAAGAGCATGAGAGACATTGGTTTGGGCTGCACCTAGTGCATTCACAATTAATTGGAGGGGTGATATATCCAATAAGAGCCATTGGTTAGTTCCCAATGCTGATAGATAAGATTGCGATGTATGTTCTAATTTGTGTAAATTACTTGTTGCTCATCTTATTTTGTTTGCTAAAACTTCGGCGTCTGTGCTATGTAATGCTCTTAATCCTGTTTCCAGGATGCCTGTCACATCTCTCTTTGGTCTTTTTATAGAGGTGAGGATTTAAAATGTTCTTGTAACACTAATGAATCTGCACTTGCAGGCATCTGTAATTTGGAAAGTTTAGTATGTCCTTTGGTTAATTTAATTTTCTCTGCAATTCCTGTCAAGCAGGCATACCATTTTCTGACCATAGGTTATTTTGCAACTCCTTGTGGGGGAGCAGTCCCATTTAGGATTGCTTCTAGCAAATTCAGTGGTCCTCTGGTTTGCGCAGGCTGTTCCTGGTGTATTTTCTCAACTTGTTTTACTGCTTGGACTAAAGAGAAAAGTCCCTTTTCCCACTTAAGTGTCCCACCACACTATACACTGTCCACCAGGTACCTAAAAACTTTAATTCTCTACTTGGTCCCTGACATTTTTCAGGTGCCATCTGAACTTCTGCTTTGTGCAGTGCTTGCTGAGCTGCTGCTATGTTTTCCCCCATCTTTTCAAGGGAATTTCCTCCAATTAAAATATCACCTATGTATTTGTACAGTTTCACATTCTAAGGGAGTGAGACTATGAAAGTTCAGCAAGCATGGGATGAGCAGCCGTGGATGGACGTCGACCCTAACCCTGTGGAAGTCTGGTAAAGGTATATTGTGTACCTTCTTAAGTAAAAACAAATTTCTTTTTATCCTCCTGTAAGGGGATCATAAAGAATATATCTTTCACACCTAACACTGTCATCCACGGGTGTGCGGCTGCTTGTAGCGTAGCTGTTAAAGTTGCAATATTGGGTACTGCAGCTGTTAGTGAGGCCATGTTGGCATTTGAGAGTTGATAAGCAGTTGTTAGATGCCACTTCCCACCCAGTTTTCTGACTGGCCAGATGGGTGAGTTGTATGGGAAGTGAGTTCTAGAAATAATGTGCCATTTTTCCAAGTCTGCTGTTACCTCAGAAGTTCCATTTCATGCTGCAGTAGAAATTGGGTACTGTGGTACATCAGTAACTTTGAATCAGGGAGTGCAGGGATTGCACAAAGTACATGCACTGTAACCCCCTGATTTCTGTCAAGTCAACATGTGAACCAAGGGACCACACGCTGCCACCTGTCAGGCGCCAGGTTTGGATGTTCAAAATGTCAAAACCCAAAATAGTTCCATTGTGGTCTTTAACTGCAAAGCAAGTAGATGACATGCACTTCCCACCCAGGAGCCATAAATTAACTTTTGCTGCTTGGCAAATAACACTTGCTCCATTCACTGCAGTGATTTTAACTCTTTGCTGTCCAGGTTCACTCAGCTTCTCAGCATCCTGTTGTGTTA